GGGGTAAAATGATTAAAAAAATAAAATGAAGAAAAATGATTTCTCAAATTTTCCTTATTCCGAGTTGATTTTTTTAAAGGTTTTTGAGTGTGTTGGATACATTTGCGTTTGCAACAAGATTTTCGTTGATTTGAAACAAACACTTTACATTTCATAAGGGTTTTACTTTTTATAAAGTATTGGAACTTTGCAGCGGGATATTCCGTTTTCATTTTAGCTTTCTTACAACGAGTAACAGCTTTTCGATGACTTTTATTTTTATTGAAACACGTGGCACGTATTTTATTATATATAAATCCAATAAAATCTTATTTTACGAACTTGGGCAATCGTCAATACGACCAGAATAAATATTTTTATTTCATTTTTTTTTCACATTACTATATAATAAATACTCCAAATCACCAATATTGCAAAAGATTATAAAATTTAAAAAGATCGTATTTTGCTTTAGCTTCCGTAGGCGATCAGTTTATAATCAATTTACGTATTACAATTATACAAATTAAGCACTCCATATCACGATAATTAAAAAACAAAAAAAAAAACAAAAAAAAGAAACTTAGATTTTATAAAATTTAAAAGATATTTCATTTTACTATATAAATTAATTCTAAACTGATTCCGTTTCGGAAACCAAAAGAAATATATTTATATGACACGATTTCTTAAAATTTAATAACATACATTGTTTTTTAAGCGATAGTAACATTAAAAATTACTTCAGATTTCAAATAACGAAATTCTTTTCTCTTTTTTTTTTTTACATTTTAAGAAATCACGTGATATGATCGTATTTTGTTATAAATTACGTAGGGGAACAGTTTATAATAATATTATTTAGGAAAGTCCACCTTCGCTATTGAATTCCATGAAATTTCATTTATCTTTATATTCGTGAACTGATGCGTTTAATGTCGCTCATTTCAGCAGGAGCGCCGGGGTTCACTGTGTTCTTTGAAAGTTAAACTAGGTGAGCCTCAAACTAACAGAATTATTTCTATAAATCTTGATTTATACAAAAAAGCTAGAGAAACCAAGCACACAGCCTCTATGTCAAATCTTTGTCATTTGATATTTTAAACAGGATGTTACGTTTCTTAGTCTTTTATAAGGAGGGCGATAAACCTTTCCTCAAGGTATAACATAGAAAGCCTGTCGTTCAAAAAGTTACCAGAATAAGAAGAGATATTTAATATATGACAGAAGTATAAAAAGGTCGGAACTGGGGGACGCTCGAGATTGCTAAGAGACAGTTATCTCCCAGAACGAAAAGCCGATTTTAAACTAATTTCATTTAAGAATTATTTTAATTCGTGATATTGTTAAAGTAAATTATTAAACTCCTTTTTTTCTGCAATAGGCTTAATTAAAGAAGCTGATGACCCTAAGACAACGATGAGCTCTTAACATATAGTACGACTATCGGAAAGAAAAACAAAAGAAAACCGTACCTTCCGATCAGGAAAATTCCGTCTTTGGTGTCTATTTTATGCTCCTACGCTTTTGGTGATCGTGTCTCGAGTGGAGGATGTTAGTTTTAACGAGTACAATGACTCTTGATATGTAAATTACACAGACTTTTAGGCGAGTCCGTCATAAGCGCAGCTGTTGTCCTAAAAGAGATGATATAGACAGCAAGTTTCCTTTCATTTGTTATTTAATGATGACAGTATATACTGGAAAATGAGGTGAAATGGACATATGGGTAGGAAATGTATATTACGAAAATCTAGCCAGTAATGGCGGTATTCGTAATCCTAGATTTTCTCCCGTGATTCAAACACCGACAACTGGTACCAATACAACATTGTCTGCATTCGAAATGCTGACTTTTGTCTCTACTTGTCTTCTGATATTTGCAGGAATTGTATCAATACCTAACACATCACACTGAAATTTTATTTCGTTTTTTCTTTTTCTTTTGTTTTTAGATATTTCCCGAATGGAATACTTACAGTACTAGCCTCATTAATAACATTATTCGGACTCTTATCCTCATCTTCATTGATATATTCACAACGTTTCGGATGTTGTAAGCCTCGACCTTCTTCAGGATCTGTCTATATGTCTGAGATGAGGCATTAGGATTATTGCAATATTTACATTATTCGGACTCTTTTCCTCATCTTCATTGACATATTGACAACGTTTCGGTCGTCGTACGCCCCGGCCGTCTTCACTACCTCTCTATATCTCTGAGATGAGGTATTATGATTACTTGCAATATTTATATTATTCGGACTCTTATCCTCATCTTCATTGATATATTCACAACGTTTCGGATGTTGCAATAATCCTAATTGACATATTGACAACTTTTCGGCTGTTGTACGCTCTGGCATTTTTCGGGTGACTGGAAATTCGAACCGAGTCATTTACTTCGTCCACAGGGGTAAGTAGTTTTTAAATCTCCATCGAATGTGTCTCTTCGACATTTTCAATAATAATTTACGTATAAGACTGTTCTGCCTCCGTTCTAAATTATTTCCAATTAATTTAAATTCTACGGCTGTGTAGCAAATCAGCTTAAAGTTTTAATAAAAGCAAACAAATTAAAAAACAAAACAGTTTTCATTTTATCAGCAAAGAGAACATTTTTGGATCTGTTATCAGCATGGCTGATGCTAACCTCCAAAAAAGCAACTCTTTTAAACCTCTTGGCTCAGATTTTCAACTGACATGAAGAGGAGTTGACATATTAAATTAACAGCTAGGTCAACAGCTAAGAAATTTGGTTGACAATTTTTTCATGATCCATCTTGTACATTTATAAATCTACCGTCCGTCTGTGCATAGAATATTGCTATCATATCTAGTCTGAAACCCCTGATTTATACCTCGGGACTTTTGACAAAATTCAAAGAAGAGTTTGTAATATGATCGATCCTGACCTGGTACCTCGATTTTCGTTACTTTCAAATCGACGTGACTTTCCTTTTTATATTATATATATTAACTAATTTCAAGGTGATACGCCCGTATTCATTACACCACCCGAGCATCCAAGCTTATAGCATTTGTTGTTCTCAAAGGGACACCCATCTAGGTATTGACCAGGCTCGATGTTGCTTAACTTCGATGATAGTACGGAAATCGCTGTTTCAAGGTGATACGCCCATATCTATTACACCATCCGAGCATCCAAGCTTATAGTATCTGTTGTTTTCAAATGGACACCCATCTAGTTGCTGACCAGGCTCGACATTGCTTAACTTCGGTGGTCGTACGAGAACTTGTGTTTCAACTTGATATGGCCGTGAGCCTCGTTGTGATAGAAAATCTTGCAAAACGACGGAGAAACTGGATTAGAAAAATGTTCAATCATCACTGATTCTGTCCGACAAAGGAAAATGCAATCACCATGGCGTCAGCGAAATACGCAGGTCGATGAAGACTCTTTAATTTTCAAGGACGAATGCTTTCTCTTAACCATATGCAGTCACGGATGCAATCGCCTATGCGCATAGTATTTGTTGAGAATGAACTGAAACAAGCTGAAAAAGAAATCAGATAGAATCATGTCGGGGTGGACTTTAATAAGGATTTAAATAAAAAAAAAATGACATATCAATTCACGACGCAGACGATCATGGCTCTCCACATACCCGTTTCCTTTATAATCTGTTAATTATCTCGGCTTCTTTGGAAAATAGTGTTTTCTCGTTGTTTTCTCTAAGATCGTGAATTCAGAGACCTTCCCTTTGATTAATTTACAAACAAAACTACAGAGCCCAATATATATTGCTATTTAAATTATAGATGATTAAAAAATGATTTCATGCTTTTCTGAGGGTATTAGTGGGAAAGTGAACGTTACAGGCCGGCGTCAACACGAATCCAATTTACGTGTCACTGCCCATTGTACAGGGTACGATGGATAAATTTTCGTCATATTATATTTTTAACTGCGCGTTTGTTTTTGGTTTTGTCGACTTCACAGTATAGTAGGATTAGCCTGCCACTGTCTGTGATTAAAAGAACACGATAATGCAATTCACTCTATCAAAAATTTGGAAATGGCTGTAATGCTTGGCAGTCATGCCGGAAGTTCCAATACGAGTATTTGGGTGTGTTTGGGTGTCAGTCTGACGACAGTGCAGAAGATTCGGAAAGACTTTAATGATGATTACGAATCTCGTTCTGATAAGAAAAGAAATCCTGAATTTGTTGATGACGAACTCAAACTCAGCATGGAAGTTTACATCAAGTGCCACGAGGATGTAATGCAGCCCTAGGTCAAGAGGGTGGCTGCTGGAAGATTTTATGTATAGCAACTTCTGTAGGAGGTTTTATAATATCTTTTCTGTGTCTTGTATCAGTATTGTGTAATCTGCGTGTCTTATGTTGTTAAGATTGTGACCGCCAGTGATGAATCCTGGTAGGATTCTCTCAGAATTGCTTCGCTGTATAGGTTGAATAAGTCCGGTGAGACGGCACATCCTTGCCTCATGCTACTTTCTATTTTCCTTTATCTGCTGAATTCATTCGCTATACGCATGCATGCCATTTTCTGCCAGTATAGATTCTTGATTATTCTAATATATTTCCCAAATATATCAAGGTTGCTAAGGTGTTCGAACAGATCTTTGTGGTGTACTTTGTCGAAGGCTTTTGCGTAGTCTATAAAACATAGGTGCACGTCTTTCTGCATTTACGCGGTTTAAAAACTAAGAGAAAACTCTCAAATTCTGGAAAAATAAATTCTTTTTGAGCTTATAGAACCGGCCATTGGTCAGGGTTTAATCACTTATTATTTCTTTATTAGCACTGAGTGGGGAAAGAATATTTTGAGAAAGATAGTCGCAGGCACCATTAATTAATTATTTTGAATGCATGCTACTCGGGTTTGTGCTCTGATCGTTATTCTATTTTTGTAGACAATGGCGGGAAAGACGATGGGAGATAACAAATGAGTCACATTGAGCATGGGTGATTATCGCATGGCAAATTATTATATTTAATTTTTAAGGACATAAAGCATTGATTGCCTTATAAGG